GTAGAAGGTCCAGAAGAACGCACTGTCATCTCTGTGGTAGGAATGGGAGGACAGGGTAAGACCACTCTTGCAAACAGAGTTTTCAACAACCCGAAGGTGACTTGCCACTTTGATTTTCAAGCATGGATCACAGTATCTCAGTCCTACAGTGTGGATGAGTTGCTGAGGAACCTGTTGCAAAAGCTTGGCACAGAAAAAGAGGAGACTATTGAAATGGATCAAGAAGCATTGATTAAAGAAACGAGAAACTGCTTGCAACAGAAGAGGTATGTTGTCGTGTTTGATGATGTATGGAATCCACATTTTTGGGATGTTATTCAATTCGCTCTATTGGATAATAAAAATGGAAGTAGGATACTTATTACAACTAGGAAAGAAGATGTTGCAATGTCTTGTAAGAAATTTTCTTCTGTTCATGTGCACATGTTGGAACCTTTATCTCATGAAAAATCTTTGGAGCTATTCTATAAGAAGACATTTCAACATGATTTCAATGGACGTTGTCCAGATGATTTGGTGGAAATATCTTGTGAAATCGTTGAAAAATGTAAGGGCTTGCCACTAGCAATTGTGTGCATCGGTGGTCTTTTATGTTCCAAAGGAATAACTACTGCACTTGAATGGAAAAGGTTTTGTAATAATCTAAGTTCAGAGTTGGGGAATAATTCCAGTATAAATAAAATTTTAGGCTTTAGTTATGATGATTTGCCCTACTATCTTAAACCATGCTTGCTGTATTTCGGAATGTATCCTGAAGACTATGCAGTTAGATCGAAAAGATTCATTCGACAGTGGATAGCTGAAGGGTTTGTAAAATATGAAAAGGGGAAAACCTTGGAAGAAGTTGGACAGCAATATTTAAGAGAGTTGGTTGGTCGAAGTTTGGTGCAAGCACGTTCATTTACCATTGATGGAAAAGTTAGTGTTTGTCAAGTTCATGACTTGACCCGGGAGATGATCCTTGAAAAATGCAAGGATTTGAGATTTTGTGAGTATATTGGTGAAGACAGTGAGCTAGTGTCAAATGGAGGTGTAACTTGGCGCCAATCACTTAAAACCACATCTTATGCTTCCATGGAAAATATTGAGGGCTCACATGTTCGGACCCTGTTTTTCTTCTTCAGTGATATAAAGCCTATTTTCTCAACCAGCTGGGTGGAAGAACTCCCCAAGAAATACAAGCTATTGAAGGTACTTCATTTTGAAACGGCTAACAAGTGGTTTTTCTTTCCCAAAAGTTTGGGAAATTTCATACACCTTAAGTATTTAAGCTTTGAGCATTTACCAATTGATAGTCTTCCAAAATCCATTGGTAACCTCCAGAACCTAGAGAGCTTGAATATAAGCGGTACACTCATCAGAATCTTGCCAAAGGAAATCTACAAGCTTAGAAAGCTGAGATATCTTTCGGGAATCAAATGAAGGATGGGATTGGAGGAATGACTTCCCTCCAAACGCTGAAGAATGTGAGAATAACCGATGATGATGGAGTTGAGCTAATTAGAGAGCTAGAAAAGCTGACGCAGTTAAGGAGCTTAGGCTTGACTGTTATTGTACCAAAACATGAAAGAGCTCTATGTTCCTTACTAAATCAGATGCAAAAGTTGGAGAAACTATTTATTGGTTGTCATTCGTTTGACGATGTTATTGATTTGAGTTTGGTTTCATCCCCTCCTAAGTTTGTTTCGAAGCTTTCCATTGAACTGAAGTTGAATAAGTTGCCAGAATGGGTTCAAGAGCTGCAAAATCTTGTAAAATTAACCTTGTCTCGTTGCAAGTTAATTGAAGATCCGCTGAACTCATTACAAAATCTTCCAAATTTGATGTCTCTAAGAATTGCTTACGAAGCTTATGTAGGTGAAAGTTTGCATTTTCAAGGAGGGTTTCAGAACCTAAAGGAACTAATCCTAAGTAGATTAAAGAACTTGAATTCCGTTGTGATCGAGAAAGGAGCAATGAGTTCTTTGAAAAGGCTAAGGTTTTATAGTCTTCCCTTACTCAAGACCGTACCCCTTGGCATTCACAACTTAGAGAACTTCAAGTTTTCCGAATGAGCGGGAACATGTCTGTTCAATTTTCGGACAGCATTGCTCCTGATGGAGGACAAGATCGCTGGATCATACAGCATGTGCCGTATGTAAGCATTGATGCTAGGATTATGGAAACCAAACTTTAGAAATAAATAAAAGGTTCGCCTTTTCTTCCAAATAACTGCATTATGATATTCTTGGTATTGTGTACTATTTGCTCATAAGGACAAGGACAATGTAAGCTTTATCTAATTCTTAAAATCGTTTCTCTATTTTCGAGTTTTTTTATAGTGCATGGTCAAGTTTTGCAAAACTTCTAGAAAAGCTTTTATAGAGAAAAAGAAAAGTCACTGTAAAAATAAATAAAACTTTTTTTGTAAGTTAGAACTTATCTTTCTAAAGTTTTAAAAAGTTAAATGAAAAAAATTTATAAAAAGATAAAGAAGCATAGATTATTTTAACTTAAGAGAGGAAATTTATTTAATTTTTATATTGATTTTTTTTACAATGCTTCTTTAAAAGTTTACCCAGTAGAGATTGAGGATAAAAATTTTCTAATCAGCATTAAGAAATTATGATAAGGTATTGTTTTGGGCCCTCAAAAGCTATTTTTGCATTACTGCACAGGTACATCAGTTCCCAAATGAAGAAGATATGTAGTTACATTTCTTTAGTAAAGAAATATGAAACCTCTGATTAAATGAATGACTCTTTGCTTTTGATTCAATTTGTTTGTGATGTACATGCATGGATCATTTTATGAGAGTTTTTCCTACAAGGACTGTAAGACCTTATTTTTCTGTTAAAATATGTCTTTCTGATGTTGAACAAGGAAACTTAAGTTTCCTATAATTTCGTAATTTTTCTAACGTTTAATTCCTTGCTCTGTTAATTCTACTGCTCTCTGTATAATGTCTTTCTCTTATGGATGTTTTCATTTTATTATTGTTAATCTACATCGAGAGCTATTTAATTTCTTTCTTAATTTGCATTGTAAAAACAGTCTTACCTATGTAATGCTCTGTACTAAATATAGTGCTTTAAATTGGCAGGTGTTAGACTTCCCCAGGTATGGAAATTCAAAATCTCCATGTGGCCTTCGACACCAACTAGAGTTTGTAGATTTGTTGAAATCAAGTGTGAATTAAGTTTCATGGAGAATAGGATATGAGTAAGTTAGGAATCTATAAAGAGATAGACTCAAACATCCGTTACATTAAAGTTTTGGAATTAAATTGTGATATTCTACTCATTACAAGGCTCTACCTAAAAAACTGCCTATCCAACCGATATGGGTAGAAAATGTCAAATCGCAGTTGTAGAGTTGTCTTCCCTTGACAAAGAAATATGAAACCTGTGAAAAATGAATGATTTCTTGTTTGGATTCAACTTCTTTGTGATGTCTCATGTTATGAGTTTTTCTCTTACGGATTCTAAGACCTTGTTTATCAGTTAAAATCTGTAGTTTTAAAAAAATCGAATTTAAAAAAATAGAAATCGATCCTATTATGGAGTAAAGATTCTATTTCATTATTTGGATACTACGATGGAATTTAAAAAAATCGATCCATTGTTTGGATCGTAAACAAAGCGGAATAAATTATAATTTTCTTATTCTTATAATACCCTTACATTAAAAACATGTATTTCTAATATAAATTTTACACTTTACTGCATTATAATTTTAGCAAATGATTATTATCAAATAAGAAATTAATTATATGTATAAAAATTAACTTAAAACATTCCATAAGAATAAAAGTAAACAGTTTATATTATTTATAAAATGTAAGGAGTTATTTTTGGCATAAAATAATTATAATAGTAATATGATACGAATTTTTTTTTGTCTGTATCTAAGTTCATCTAACTAATGATTTTTAAAAATTAAGTTTTGAAATATGTATATTATTTAAATTTATACATTTTATTTAAATATTATCAATCTAGTTTTAATTGAATTATATTTAGATTTAAATATGACAACTAATTTTAAATTAATAAAAAATAACTAAGAATAGATATATCACTTTTTTATTATTATAAAAAAATCATTTACATATTAATCAACACAAACTACAAGATTCATAAAATTTCAAAAATTATAACAAGAGTATTATCTTACATTTTCCTTAGAAAATCCTCAGTTTTTTAAATTTTCAAAAAAAAAAATTTAAATATATCTATTAAAATGGAAATATAGGCTACCTCAGTTTCATTAGAGGCAACAGGGGAAGGTCGCCAAACATTTGAAAATATAATTTCCAAAGGAGCACTTGTAGTATGATGGAAATAAAATAATACTAGCCCCATCGGTTCAAAAGTTAAAGAAGAGAAAAGGGAGAAGACCCTTACATTTCATTCAGAAGGACTTGAAAAATGCTACAGAAGGACATATTTTAATGCACATTTGTTTTAATGGAAATGGAGTATGCAAATTCTGGTTGTTGCTTGTTTAACCCAACAATGATATAAGAAAACCTCAAAATATGTAAAATTTGTCATAATTCTCACTGAAACCAAAAAGAACTATTCTTTTGGGTACAATTTCCACCATGCTGCAAGAAAATGGCCATGTGGCATCATTTTCTTTGTTATATATTTGCAACTTATTTAAAAATTGGCTACGTCATATGGTATGGATACGGTGACAACTAATTAATATTAAAAAATTCTAAGCTCAGTTGAAAGATTGAACTGAGCCAACATAGTGGCATGGCATCACATGCTTCCACCTGCCAAGATAGTACTCTACCCATTATCATCCTAAGCACGTGATGTTTTTCTATTGGTACAACTAATTACAATGACAAGCATGGTCCATATAAACAACTATAAATTATCCATATGAAACTTGCTGAATATATATATTAAAGATGAATTAGGGAAGGGAAAACAAAGTCCTCCTATTACTATATAATCTTGAAGAACATAAAGTTTTGATCTCATCACCAGAAAGCAAAAAATAAAATGGCAGAAATCGCATTGTCCTTTGCTCGTGAGCATTTGCTTCCTCTGTTTATGGAAGTAGCCAATATGCTGAGAGGTGTTCCTAAAGAAGTAGAAGACATTAAAGATGAATTAGAAAGCATTCAAGCTTTGATCAATGATGCTGATAAAGTGACTGAAGCTGAATCTGAAGAGGATAAAAGTCGTGATGGAATCACAAAAAGGGTGAAGCAACTGAGAGAAGCCTCTTTTTGCATAGAAGATATCATTGATGAATATATCATGTGTGAGGAAAAGGAGTCTCATCCTGGATGTGCTGCTATACCGTGTGAGACTGTTGACTTCATCAAAACTTTGATCCTTCGTCTTCAAATAGCGTATAAGATTCAGGATGTTAAATCACTTGTTCGTGGAATCAGAGAAAGTAGTTCTGGAAGAGATGGCATGCAAAGCCAGTGTTGTTTAGAACAAAGACCAAACAGCTGTAAAGGAAATCAAAATGTCACGTGGCAGAACCTTCGAATGGCTCCTCTATATATTGAGGAAACTGAGGTTGTGGGATTTGAAGGTCCAAGAGATGAATTGATTGATTGGTTGATGAAAGGACGACCAGAACGCACTGTTATCTCTGTGGTAGGAATGGGAGGACTAGGAAAAACCACGCTTGTTAAGAATGTTTTTTACCACAAGGAGATCATTAGACACTTTGATTGTCATGCATGGATCACAGTTTCCCAATCCTACACTGTAGAAGGACTGTTGAGGGATATGTTGCACAAATTTTACAAGGAAAAGATGGAGGTAAATCCTCATAATATTGCTGGAATGGATCGAGAATCGTTGATAAATGAAGTGAGGAACTACTTGTGGCAAAAGAGGTATGTTGTCTTGTTTGATGATGTATGGAATGCACATTTTTGGGATGAGATTGAATTTGCTGTAGTTGATAATAAAAATGGAAGTAGGGTATTAATCACAACCAGGAAGAAGGATGTTGCTGTGTCTTGTAGGAAATCTTCTTTTGTTCAAGTGCATGAGTTGCAGCTTTTAAGTGAAGAAAAATCTTTAGAATTGTTCTATAAGAAGGCTTTTCGATACGATTTTGATGGATATTGCCCAAAACAACTTGTAGATACATCTTTTGAAATTGTTAAAAAGTGTAAAGGGTTACCTCTCGCAATTGTGGCCATTGGTGGTCTTTTATCTAGCAAAGATAAAGTTGCACTTGAATGGGAAATGTTCAGTCAAAATTTAAGTTCAGAGTTGGAGAGGAATTCTAATTTAACTGGCATAACAAAAATTTTAGGTTTGAGTTATGATGATTTGCCTTACAATCTCAAATCATGTCTACTCTATTTTGGAATGTATCCTGAAGACTGTAAAGTTAAATCTAGTAGACTGATTAGGCAATGGATAGCTGAAGGGTTTGTCAAACATGAAAGGGGAAAAACTTTGGAAGAAGTTGCAAAACAATATTTAACAGAGTTGATTCGTAGAAGTTTGGTGCAAATATCTTCATTTACCATTGATGGCAAAGTTAAAGGATGTCGTGTTCATGACTTATTGTATGAGATTATCCTTAGAAAATTTGAGGATACAGGGTTTTGTCAATGTATCACTGAGCATGATAAATCATTGCCAAGTGGCATCATTCGACGCCTAACAATAGCAACAAGTTCTAATGATTTAATGGGAAGTATTGAAAGCTCACACATTCGGACAATTCTAATCATCACAGATAAAGGATTATCTGAATACATCTTAAGGAGAATCCTTACAAAATACATGATGCTGAAGGTACTTGATTTTGAAAATGCTCGATTATATTATGTTCCTGAAAGTTTAGGGAATTTGATCTACTTGAAGTATTTAAGCTTCAGGAATACATGGGTACAAAGTCTTCCAAAATCCATTGGTAAGCTCCAGAACTTGGAGACCTTGGATGTTCGACAAACGCGTGTGCTTGAGATGCCAAGGGAGATTTGCAAGCTTAGAAAGTTACATCATCTTTTGGCTAACATTATATCTTCAATTCAATTGAAGGGTAGTCTTGGAGGCATGACATCCCTACTAAAGATACGTTTACTAGAAATAGATTATGATGGAATGGTGATTAGAGAGCTTGGAAACCTAAAGCAATTAAGGGATTTGCGCATAAGTAATTTCAGGGAAGAACATGGAAGCACTTTATGTTCCTCAGTAAATGAGATGCAACACTTGGAGAAGCTATATATTTATACAGCAAATGATGAAGAAGTGATTGATTTGCACTTTATTTCATCCTTATCAACTCTTAGGAAGCTTTGCTTGCGTGGGAAGTTATTAAAGTTCCCAAATTGGATTCCAAAGCTCGAAAATCTTGTTAAATTGTCCTTGAAATCCTCCAAGTTAATTGATGATCCCCTGAAATCACTAAAAGATATGCCAAATTTGGTGTTCCTCTCTATGAGTTACCATGCTTATGAAGGTGAAAGTTTGCATTTTCAAAATGGAGGGTTTCAAAAACTGAAGGAACTACAACTTAGATATTTGTACAACTTGAATTCCATCTTTATTGATAAAGGAACATTGCATTCTTTGGAAAAGCTTGAGTTAACAGAAATCCCTCAACTCAAGAGAGTACCCTTTGGCATTCAACACTTAGAGAAACTTGAAGTTCTCAATATCCAAATTATGCCAACTGAATTTGAGCAGAGCATTACTCCCAATGGAGGACAAGATCATTGGATCATCCAACATGTGTCCCGTGTAAGTATTATTACGTGGGCTAGTGAAGGACATGGAGGAAATAATCCACACTATTCATCACTCACGGAGAGAGAAATCATAAAGCATCCAACTTTGGAAATAAAAGGTGTGTTTTTTATCCCTATTAATAAATCTAATCATATCTTAGCATTATTCTTTTTAGTAATTAAAAATGCAATTGTTTCTAATTTCTAAACTGATTTCTTTACTTTTGCCTACCTTTTTCTTCAAGTATTTGCTTCTTATTTGCTTCTTATTAGCCATAGTTTCATTGATGTTGCTGTTGTATTAAAAGTAACTATATTATAATGATTTGTAGTAATATTGTGCTCTAAATTGTTAGGTTATGGCACTGCATCTTCTCTTTCGGATTTGGCACTTCAATACCTAAACTAAGAGAGTAAGTGGGTTTGTCTACCAAAAGGCATTTGAAAGATTATATGATAGTTTGTGATGTATATTGTATGCTACATGTTATTATTGTTTTTCTTCCAATTTGAACGGCGAGACTTCTTACTATTATTATGAACGTATGCCTTTTCATTTTGGAGTAAGGAAGAAAAGTTCACTTAATTTCTTTGTTTTTCTAATGTTTTCTTGCCTATTTTATCATAATGTGTTTTGCTAAATTTTCTTCTATTAGTTCTTTTTCTTGTGCACGTGTATTCTTTGTTGCAAATCATAACTATTTATCACTGTTAAAATAGGAATCAATGATCTCGTTAATGGAGCTAGTAATAATTAGGAATCAATTGGAATGTTTAAAGCTAAGAAAAATGAACTCTAAGCATTTTGCATTAATGGGTGTTCGTACTGTGTGAGTAAATCCCCACTTGAATATTTCCGAAGTACCCCTTGGTTGCATCAAGTTGACCAAAATCATAATTTGAACTAAATTTTAAGTAACTTTCTCAAAAACTATGAAATGAGAGAATGTTTAAACCATATTTATGGGTAATTTTATATCGAAAATGTTTGATTCTTAGAACAATTTGGAATTAGAAATAATTTCCTCTATCGGTTCTATTCCAATAAAGTACAGTGTATGGTAAAATGAAGAAAGGAAAGAGAAAAAATAAAAGAAAATTAAGTATATAAGTGGAAGGACAGAGGAAGCAATAACAAGAAATAAAGAATTTGAAAGCAAAAGATTAAGAAGAAAAGATGATGAAAATGATGAATACTCTTGATCTCTTGTTAGAAAGTAGCTACGTGTTGGGCATATTATGCTTTTAAAGAAAGTTACAAAATAATAGAATATAATGCATAAATTATATATTCAAGATAACACACATTAGACTAAGAAAATAGGAGAGAATCTTTTAAAATTAGATGAGAGAATGATGTAATTTAAACAATTATAATTAAAAGAGGAAATATATATAATTTACTCAAGTTATAATATTCGTATGAGGTGCCAATTTTAATAATTTTTGTTTTGCCAATATTTTTATTCTTGATGATTCACTCAACGATTTTAAGATAATAACGATACAATCTACGAAAAATATACCAGTGTTTAAATAGCTCTTTACAGTTGAAAGTTTATAATTGATCATTTTAGACTAATAAGAAATTGTAATTAAATCTTTATTACCAGTAAATAAATATTAGCTTTAAGACTTTACTTAGTCTTTGTTAAATTACAAAACCCTATTTATAAACGCAAATAAACTAAGGAAACTTACCTGACAGGAAATAAAATTCTATAAGTCCTCGAAATTTATTTAACAGAATTTCAACATTGTTAGTGATTAATTGGGAATTTATTTAATTTTTATATTCAAATATTAAAGAGTTTAATTATGATGCACTATTAATGTAAAAAATTTAAAATATCAACGAATTAGAATACATTGTGAATATAATTTTAATATTAATCATTAGAGAAATAAATAATTTTTACTGATATGTTAATAAAAAAAATGAAAAGATTACTACTCAAATCAGAGCTAAACTCAAATGGCAGAAATGGCTGTGTCTTTTGCTGTTGATCAACTTGTTCCAGTATTAAGGGAAGAAACCAATCTTTCAAAGGCATTCACAAACAATTTGCTGACTTAAAAGATGAACTAGAAAGCATCCAAGCCTTTCTCAAGGATGCAGATAAAAGGGCTGCAACGGAAGTAGAAAACACAAATGAGGGAATCAAAGCTTGGGTGAAACAAATCAGAGAAGTAACATTTCGTATAGAAGATATCATTGATGAATATATGATCTATGTGGGACAGCAGCCTCATGATCCCGGATGTGCAGCTTCACTCAATAAGATTTCTCACTTGATCAAAACTCTGATTCCTCGTCATCGAATAGCATCTGAGATTCAGGACATTAAGTCGAGTTCAGGGAATCAAGGAAAGAAGTGAAAGACATTCTTTTGATCAAGGATATTCAAGCAGTCCTACAGGAAGCAAAAATGTCAAATGGCATGACCCATGAAAGGCTTCTCTTTATGTTGAGGATGGTGACCTAGTGGGATTTGAAGCTCCAAGAGATGAATTGATTGGTTGGTTAGTAGAAGGTCCAGAAGAGCGCACTGCAATCTCTGTGGTAGGAATGGGGGGACAAGGAAAACCACTCTTGCCAGCAGAATTTTTAGCAACAAGAAGGTTATTGGACACTTTGATTGCCAAACATGGATCACAGTGTCTCAATCCGACAACGTGGAAGGGTTGCTGAGGGACATGTTGAACATGTTTTACAAAGCAAAAGGGGAGAATCCTCCTCATGGTATTTCTGAAGTGGATCGAGATTCATTGACTGAAGAAACAAGAAACTATTTGCAACAAAAAAGGTACATTGTTGTGTTTGATGACGTGTGGAACGTACACTTTTGGGATGAGATTGTGTTTGCTGTAGTTGATAATAAAATGGGAAGTAGGATATTTATCACAACCAAGATCAGGGATGTTGCCATGTCTTTTAGGAAATCTTTTGTTCATGTGCATGAGCTGCAACTTTTAAATGAAGAAAATTCTTTGAAACTTTTCTATAAGAAGGCATTCCAATTTGACTTTAATGGATGTTGTCCAGATGATCTTGTGGAAATATCTTCTGACATTGTTAAAAGATGTAAGGACTTACCATTAGCAATTGTGTCTATTATTGGTCTTTTATCTTGCAAAGAAAAAAATGCTTCTGAATGGAAAAGTTTTAGTCATAATTTAAGTACAGAGTTGGAGAAGGATTTTTGTTTATCTAGTATAACAAAAATTTTAGGTTTCAGTTATGATGATTTGCCTTGTTGTCTTAAATCATGCTTCTTGTATTTTGGAATGTATCCTGAAGACTATGAAGTTAGATCGAAAAGACTAATTCGACAGTGGATAGCTGAAGGGTTTGTAAAATCTGAAAAAGGGAAAGCTTTAGAGGAAGTTGCAGAACAATATTTAACAGAACTAAACAAAAAAACATGCATTAATGTTGCCCTTTATTCCAAATTATAACAGTATGATTGGTTTTCAAATTAGAACAAAATGCATCTAGTACTTTTTAGTTTGTATCCCATAATATATTGTTGAAATTTTGAACTTCCAAGCTTGTATAAATCACCAAACAGAAACAATGTTTATCATTTTGGACAAGACATAAAGGGTAACATGTCAAATTTAGCCTACAGTTACTTTATTACATCAGAACGACTCATTTTGGTAACCAATAACAGATTCAAGAGTACAGTCCATACTACTAAGAATTTAATAAGAAATATCCTGCATTAAGACTTTTAGAAGGAGTATTCGGAAACGTAAGGTTCTTCTATTGTTCAAACATTTTAAAATAGGTAAATTCTAGTTTATTTTTCTCTAGTTTTACACATTTTCAACCTATTTTAACTTCTTTTTTTTTTAGACCAAAGCAAAATTATTTTTTTGTCAAAGCTAATGTCAGATACTTCTTTTCTTTTTTTCCTTTAACCCTCTCAACCTTAAAATCAAGTAAAATTGTTGTTTTATATCACTTAACCTATTTACATTAGATCAAAATTAAACTAATTAGTTTTTCATCGATTCTAATATTATTTATGTGAAACCCTACTTTTCTACTAAAACTTATCTTTATTGTGACTAATTTTTCGAAGATATTTATATAAGTTTAACCACTGACTATGTGTGTCTTTAATAACACGTAGAAAAACTTATAAACATATATCCATGCTCTCTTATGCAAAAAGTTTAACCACTAGCTATCTCTCTCATGCTCTCTTCTTTTCTTCCTATTTCTCGTTTTCTTCCCTTCTACATTCATTTTATGGGTGTGAAAAGATTATTTTCCTAGATATGAATATATATATATATATATATATATATATTAATAATGAATCTAATGCAAAAACTAAAACTAGTAACGTTGAAGAAAACATAAATGTACGGTTGTTTAAATGTGAATTCAAGCATGCAATGCCATACACAAAGCTGAGTTTTTTGGGAGAGAAATAAGTTTGAGTATATCTTTAATGGAATCAAAAGTAAGATCTAGTGTTGTTTAAATACTCTGAAAACATTCATCGTTATTGTATTTGTCCATCCTACTTGAAAGGTTTATTCAATAATTGACTTATATTTATTAAAAAAGAATACCATTATGACACAAGTTTAAAGAATCAGCCTATGCCACATTGTAGAAAGGTTAGAACAATCTCAACAGGCATAAGGGTTGCTTCTCACAAAATAAGAGTGTTGACAAGTTTTATTTTGATCAGATTTTTAAGCTAAAAGTCATCCAATCCAAGTGTTAGGAAAATAATAAGTGGTTTTTGAGACTGTTCTTGTTTATCTTTTTTATTCATTTAACTTTAGAATAGTATAGCAATATCATCAACCACGTGGATCAGATCTTAAACAACAATAGAATTAACAGTTTAGCTAACTACAATATTCAAGTGCAATTTGATCTAGTACGACAGAAACAATGGACAAAAATAAATCTCAACTTGCTAAAAAAAAATATTTAAGACTGGGGAAACTCCATTATTATAGACAAACACGTTGGTTTACCAGTAATATAAACCTGAAAACATAGAGAAAAAGGAGCAATACAAAAAATTAACTGTTATATTTGTACGTCTATTTTTCATCCTATTTTTTAATATATTTTTCTTCCGCTTCTGTTACATTATCCATAACATCTCTTACTTTTTCTTCTTCTTTTTTTTCTTTTTATTTCTCATGTTCTTCCCTTCCTTCTACACTTGTGTTTAAAGTAACACATAATTTTAAAATATATAAAAATAAGAATCATTTAATTACACTTTAATAATCATTTAATTTTGACAACATTTAACATATATAATATAGTTACAATTTAATAGTTGGATCGAAAAAATTATATATGAAGTTGTTAGAAGTGTAAAAATTAGTATATATAATTTATTTATTTCATGTGTTAGTGTGTAAGACAATATTTTATAAGCAGCTGGTTTAATTTACTGGTACAGCTAATATTTACAAATATAAAAAGGAATAGTTAAATGAAGAATTTGACAACTTGCATTAATATGATAAGAATAAAACAAATTAAAAAGATCAACTTGCTCAAGAAGTATTTAAGAAAGACGTAGGAAAACTCAAAGTCTTCTCATGATTGATGATGGGATCAATAAATAAGTCTCAGACTCGAACCATATACACAAAATCTTCACTCCACTACAAATCCACAATACAGAAGAAATCAAAGCTAGACTCAAATGGCAGACATGGCAGTGTCCTTTGCACGTGACAAACTTCTTCCACTAATAAAGGATGAAGCATATCTGCTATGGAACGTTCCCAAAGAATTTGCAGATATAAAAAATGAATTAGAATACATTCAAGCCTTCCTCAAGGATGCAGATAGAAGGGCTACAACAGAAGGAGACAACACAAATGAGGGAATCAAAACATGGGTGAAACAGCTGAGGGAAGTAGCTTTTCGCATAGAAGATGTAACTGATGAATACATTATCTATGTGGAACAACAATCTCATGATCCTGGATGTGTAGCTTTACTCTGTGAGTTTGTTCACTTCATTGAAACTTTACTACAACGTCATCAAGTAGCATCTGAGATTCAAGACATCAAGTCATCCCTTAGTGGAATCAAGCAAAAAAGTGTAGAATATCACTTCCAAACTCAAACTTCTTTTGAGCAAGGATCAAGCAGCTCTGGAGGAAGCCAAGGTGCCCAATGGCTTGACCATCGAATGAATTCTCGATACCGTGATGAAGCTGAAGTGGTAGGCTTTGAAGCTCCAAAAGATGAATTGATTGGCTGGTTGCTAAAGGGACCAGAAGAACGCATTATCATTTCTGTTGTTGGAATGGGAGGACAAGGAAAAACCACTCTTGCTAGTAGAGTTTTTAACAACCAAATGGTGATTAAGCATTTTGATTACCGTGCGTGGATCACAGTGTCTCAGTCCTACAATGTGGAGGGGTTGTTGAGGGACATGTTCAAGAAGTTTTGCAAAGATAAAAGGGAAAATCCTCCAACGGGTATCTCTGAAATGGATCGAGATTCGTTGATTGAAGAAATGAGAAACTACTTGCAAAAAAAGAGGTATTTTGTTGTTTTAGATGATGTATGGGGTGTGCAACTTTGGGGTCAGATAGCAAATGCTCTTTTTGATAATAAAAGTAGAAGTAGAATATTAATCACAACTAGGAAGATGGATGTTGTAAATTCTTGTAAGTGTTCTCCTTTTGATCATGTACATGAGCTAAAACCTTTAACTCAAGAAAAATCTTTAGAACTCTTCTGGAAGAAAGCATTCCAATTTGATAGCAATGTTAAAAGTTGTCCACATGAACTCATGCATATATCTTCTGAAATTGTTAAAAAATGTAAAGGTTTACCATTAGCAATTGTGGCAATTGGTGGTCTTTTATCTCTCAGAAAAATAAACCTATTTGAATGGGAACGGTTTTGTCATAATCTAAGTTCAGAGCTGGAGAGAGATTCCCATTTGATTGGTATAACAAAAATTTTAGGTTTCAGTTATGATGACTTGCCTTACTATCTTAAATCGTGCTTATTGTATTTTGGAATATATCCTGAAGATTTTGAAGTTAGATCAAAAAGACTAACTCGACAGTGGATAGCTGAAGGGTTTGTAAAATCTGAAAAGGGAAAAACTTTGGAAGAAGTTGCAGAGCAATATTTAACAGAGTTGGTCAATAGAAGTTTGGTGCAAGTATCTTCATCTACAATTGATGGCAAAATTAGAGGTTGTCGTGTTCATGATCTGTTACGTGACATGATCCTTAAGAAATTTAAGGAATTGAATTTTTGCCAACATATTAGTGAAGATGATGAACAAGTCTCAAGTGGAATAATTCAGCGCCTAAGCTTATCAACAGCAACCAACACCAATAATTTGATGGAAAGTATTGAAAGCTCACACGTTCGTTCACTATTCTTTTTCACAGATGAAGAAATAACTGAACAATTTGAGAAGAGCATTGTCACAAATTACAAGAGGTTGAAGGTACTTGATTTTGAAGATGCTCATCAATTGTCTCATTTTCTTGGAAATTTGGAAAATTTAATCCATTTGAAGTATTTAAGCTTTAGGAAAACAGAAGTAGAGTGGGGTGTTCTTCCAGAATCCATTGGTAAGCTACAAAATCTAGAGACCTTGAATATAAGGCATACAAGAATCAAAATTATCCCAAAGGAGATTAGTAACCTTAAGAACCTAAGACACCTTTTGGGCAACAAAATGTCTTTGATTCAATTGAAGGGTGTTCTTGGAGGCATGACATCCCTACAAACACTACGTGAAGTGGAAATAGGTGATGATGGAGTGGAGCTAATTGTTGAGCTAGGAAAGCTAAGGCAACTAAGGAACTTAAACTTGGCTGGTATTAAAGAAGAACATGGTAGTGCTCTATGCTCATCATTGAATGAGATGCAACACTTGGAGAAACTAGTTATTGTTGCACAAACTACAAATGAAGTCATTGATGTGAGTTTCATTTCATCACCCCCTAAGCTTCAGAAGCTTTACTTGATATTGAAGTTAAATAAGGTGGTGCCACAGTGGGTTCTACAACTTCATAATCTTGTTGATTTGTTCTTGGGATGGTCCTATTTAACTGATGATCCATTAGAATCACTCCAAAATATGCCAAATTTGATGTACCTCAAACTCAACTATTGGGCTTATGAAGGTGAAAGTTTGAATTTTCAAAATGGGGGGTTTAAAAAATTAAAGGAACTATACTGTGGAGAACTGTCTAACTTGAATTCAATTGTCATTGACAAAGGAGCACTAAATTCGTTGAAAACGCTTAAATTCTGTTCCCTCCGTAAACTCAAGAAGGTTCCTTCAGGCATTGACCACTTAGAAAAACTTGAAGTTATCTATATATGGAGAATGTCAGCAGAATTTCAGCAGAGCATTGCTCCATATGAAAGACAAGAGCAATGGATCATCAAGCATGCTTTCTCCTTTTAAGTATGTGCTAATCTGGATATATAAGGATAAAAACTTTAGAAATAAAGGTATTTTTTTCTCTTCCTAATAACTGCATTAAGATATTCTTGGCAATGTTTATTGTTTAATGGGTAAAAAAAATGCCAGCTTCATCCACTACTTCAGATACTCCTTTATTTTTTAAAATTTTGGTCATTATAGTTTCTATACTTTGGCCTCCCTTTGTTCTTCTTAAATCTTCTGTTACATATTTATCTATATACAATAAAATAAAGTTCTTACTCTTGACCAGACTGAAGACATTTCTCATTATATTTTTTTTTTTCTCAGGAAAAGTAACTGTCTTTTAATTTATTATTATTGCATTTTCGTAAATTGTCAATTTGTTAATCATTCTAATTTTTTAACATTATTTTTTTCTCAAAACTCAACTTTCTCAAAGTGTTTAATTATAATTTTTGTTATTCGTTAACATTTTCTGTCCTTACCAAACTCCAAATTGAGTTGTGATTCACTGGCATTGCTCAAATATCTACTAAATTTGTCATGCCTTCGTATCCTTTATCATGCATGCACGTGAAGGTGAATTAATGTTTGCATTTTTCAGCTAGTTCTCATATGCCTTTAAAATTTGAATTTCATCTTTATGGACACAGGAGCATTGCCCTCTATACATCAAAATCCATGTTAGTGCCAACAAATCCCTTGGAACTATTGGTGCCCAAAAAAAAGTATTCATGTTAGTCAATATCCCCTAGCTCAAGGAGGAGCCTTTTGGTGTGTACAACTTACCAAGGATTTATGTTTTCCATGTTATGAATATGTCTGATGAATTTGAACAAAGCATTGATCTCAAGAGAAGATAACATCAATGGATAATAGAGCAAGTGCCAATTGTAAGTATTTTCAATCAGTTTTGGGCATAAAAGAAGTCCAACTTCCAAAATAAAAGTGTAATTTTATTCCTGTTTAGAATTATTGAATATTTTGTTATTGGTAATTGATAAGTCTGTAATTAGGCTCTCTTTTACAGCCTATATATTCATATTTTACCTTTATTTTATTTGGATTTTATACTAATTTATATATTAATTGTGCAGTTTAGTATAAAGAGGCCGCAAGTAGATTTTGGGTGAGAAGCCCAATTATGAAGAGCTTTTAGGGTTTTCAAATCCTATAAAAGGGAAGATCTCAAGCATCATAAAGAGGACCGTTTTTACATCTTGGCTTCGGCTCTAGAATACATCTGATTTCGTCTCTCTTGCACGGAATCATTGGCATATGCTTGGCGAGACTTGGAGCTTCAAGATCATACTTGAAAACCGGGAACACATCTCATACTCTAGTTTGCTATTTTTTTTTATTATGGCTTTGTTTATGATTATTTTAGTTCTTTTCTTTAACATGAGTATCTAAGTCTATAGCTAGGGCTATGGGAACTATTGTTCATGAATTTATGGAATTTTAATGTTTGATTCTAAATTTGATTTCCGTTTTTTTATTAGATTTTATCCTATTGCACTTCTCTCTTAATCCTAATTAATTATATCGTCAGACGACCGTACCTCGGTTAATTAATAGATCTATAGGGTAAAACGAGACAAAGAATTAGGTGGATCAAACTAATCTTTCTCTTCTAATCCTTATTAAATTAACAAGTTCGTAGGCTCCTAAAGCTTTCTTAGATTAATGTCTTGCATGACCATTGGAGATGTTAATTTAGAGAAAAGAATATTAATATTGCATGACTATTGGGTATTAATAGTATTCGTATGAATGATTGGTAATCACAAGGAAATCGAATTTAGAGTTAAATAGAAGAAGAACATAAAGGATTGAATAAGAAAACCCATATGCCCTAGGTTCGTCTCTGATAAGTTTAACCAAGACTTGCACTGTATTCCTTACTCTTAGTTTTATAATTAATTTTATAAATTCTTGTTTTTAATTAATCTTGTATCTTTGAAGCTTAAACAATTGAATTATGAAATTCTTAGTAATTGTGGGACGATATTTCGGAAACTTAATTTAAGAACCCTTTATTACTTTTCGATGGGTATACTTGTCCTCCGAATAAGTTTTTGGCTTAACCTTCAAAATGCAACTTTTATTCGATTCCTAAAATAATTTCTATTCTTTTGCTTCTCTCAAGCACCCTCTCTTATGGTGTATGTAATTTATCTGCTTGTGGTTTCTCTTGTGGATACTTTCATTCAACACACCAAAATCACGGCAACAGAAACAGCACAAAGAATCAATCATACACCATAGAACTTAAAAAATTAAAAACAATGGTATTGATACTCTTGTCATTTGAGGATCTTGATGATTTTATCATAACATTGCTTTTTGCGGTTATACTCCAATTCTGAAAGGAACAAACGCTCTACCAATCCCTTAATGAACATGATTGATTCAACAAAACACCGTCACTCTCTTTCTTTTGAGTAAAACCCAATCCAATTCTCCAATTTATAAACATTGATTTTTAATCTGACTTTGTGACTCCACTTTAATTCTTGACTTTGCAACATGATATTCACTTTAATTTTTTTTTTATAAAACGATAATAAAAAATTAAATAAAAAACTAGAATAAATAATATTTTGCAAAGTCATGAAATTAAGAAACCATCTTAAGAATTATTTGTCTCAGTATTAGGAACTGCACTTGCAAATTTACTGCATTCTAATTTTGAAAGCCAACATTTTTTGCTGAGGTATCACTTCGTACCTTTTCACCTTATCATCTCATAAATCGAAACCTTCGTATCACCCAACCCATTCCTTGATCACAAGTATATATGCTCTTAACTATCATAAGTAAAATTTGCAGTTACATAAGCGAGTTAAAGGTTACAAACTCTTAACTATCATAAACAAAAATATAATTTTAACAGTTACATAAACAAAACGGTTCGAACTAGTTATAAAAGTCATTTGCAGCAAACCATGTGTCACTCTCCACCAATCATCAAGGTATGTTGTATATATAACTTAATTAAGTATTTATTTTAAGATCTTGTTATGAAGGCTTATATCATAAATTTGACCATAAAATTTACTAAAATAAGGTAAAAGAGCTTACGAAATAGGAGTCAAGCTATTTTTCTCAACTCTTCTAAATACCCCCTAAATCCCACGTGTATTGGAAAAAGACGTGAAAAGAATTACCTTTTTCACTTGACAAAAAATCTATTCTTGATCAATCACCTATTCGATTCTTAGTACCAATAATATTGATTATACTATTATATTTGACATACTTGATATTCTACTTTAACAAATTAAAAAAAAAAATCACCCACACAATGTCCAGGTCTAAACCTAGTTCCCACAAATATCAAATTCGAAGTTTTAAGCTAATAACTGAACGCAATGATAACATATCTAGATTTCAATAAGCCAGCTGAACTACAGAGAACTAGAATGGGTATAAGAATAAAAATCAACAAAAACGGCACCAATGTCTAGGAATGAAATGTTATTAACTCGATGTTGTAGCATATTAACATTTGCACTGTTTTCAAAAGACTTAGTCCCACATAAAATATTGGTCTAACCCTAGGTGTTAAAAAATGTATAAAATCAGTAAGATACTAAAATTCTGGCTTGTCCACTACAAAATATTTTCAGAAGATTTGATAACAAAATTGTTGAAATGGCCCACTTTTTGTTTATATACTTATTTTCCTTAATCCTTGATATGTAAAGTTTCAAAACTCGTTCTGATCATATGCACATTCTGACTCTCATAAAACAAAACATCAATGTTTCAGATGGGGTACTGTTGCAACAACAAGGATAGACCAATCAGGTAAGACGGATAAACAATCATAGCAAAGTGTAAAAAACACGGTTTTGGAGTCTTGTACACATGTATGGTGTCTGCACATGTATTGGTACTACAATATCACCTATAGTTTATCAGTGCGAGCAAACAAAAGAATAGCAGCTCCATACATAAACCAAGTCTTGGTATTTAGGGATGGAAAAATACAAGAATTTCTAGGAATACAAAAGAAAATTAGTAGGCGTTTAGGGATGCCTTTTGATCCAAGTAGGATCAGATGCCAGACAAACAGTTGGGGGTATGATCCTATGTGTCCAATTGATCAATTGTTAATCAATTAGTAATGCTCCTGGTATATTGCTCCAAATTCTGCTCTCCATGCCTGATCATCATACATAAAGGATGAAGCTGCATTGTGTACCACATCAGAATCCTCTCTATAAAGTGGTTGCAGTGCAGATTCTGGTAATTTGCTCTCTGTAATGTACTGCTTCATGGTATTGATTTCTGTCTTGTGTTTTCTTTTCAGCTTCTCAATTTGCATCTTTAAATTTTCATTATCTTGTTGCAAATTGGTAAAGTTCTCCTGTTCAATATAAGAAATACAATATTCAAGAAATGAATCAGAAATGTGTTAAAAAAGAACATATGCTGAGTCTTCTTGACCACAGTTACTGGTACCAAAATAGAGACAATTATACTATAATTGTTCCTTTTTTAAGTCTCATTGTGTTCCAGTATTATTAGGAAGATCAGAAAAATTAGTGGAATATAAATTATATAGTCCATCTTAAGAACATTCTCAGCTTCTTTTTTCCCTTTAACAAATTATAGAATGAAAGAAGCACATTCATTTTGTATTCCTTATTCTGTGTTTTCTTGTTCATTTTTTATTATTTTATGCCAGTTTGTTTCTTTTTTTTCCTGTTTATTTGGTAATTGGTGTGTCAACACACCATCCTAAATTAACATACTTTATATCTCTAAAGATGTTCTTGCAACTGATAATGCACCAGAATTAACACCTTCATAATATGATGCATTGATTAGTGAGCCCCTTTATGAGATAGAATTGTACCTCTGCAACAGCTGCTGCATGTTCAGCTTCTCTTAGTCTAACCAGTAATTCTCCAGCAGCCTGAACAGCTTCAGCAGTATCTCGAAGTTGAATCTTCAAGCTCTGGTTCTCTTTTTTCAATAATTTTGATTCCCTTTCTCTTTCCACCCTCAATGCAGAAAGCTCAGCAGAAAGAGATTTGGCAAAACGGGCATGACCTTTTTTTGAGGCCTTTGCCGCTGCCTTCTTCACCTCTGCTATCCCTTCCATTATAGCATCATGTTTAGCAACCAGGTCATTGTACTTTTCTTGTAGATCAGCATAGTGTTCTACCATTCTAGCATGTCCCATAACTGCTCTCTTCAGTGCATCATCCATCTCTGCTGTGGACTTCTTCTCTGACTTCAGTTCCATCTCCAACCTCTCTGCACGCTGGCGGTAGGACTCAAGATCAGCTCTAAGTTCATCAGTAAGGCAAATCCACTCACTTTCCATTTCTGTCCATCTCTCTCTTTCATTCTCTAGCTCTTCATTGCCACTGTCCTGAGAAAATACACCACTTTTTTGCAGCTGTATGGATCTTGACAACAAAGAAGATCTAAGTTTGTCTGTAGACTTTTTGACAGGTGCATCACTGTATAATTGCAGCTTGCTCCTTAGATTCTGAATTTCCTTAAGAAGCAATTCCTTCTCAGTTGAATCAAAGGAGACATCTCCTTGGGCCGACTCTTCCTGAACTTCTTTAATTTCACATTTTTCCTCTCTAATACATGGTAAATGACCATCTGAGGAAGTTCCCCTCAGAAGCTGCAGATGACATCAACAAAACAAAACAAATGGGAACTAACCTTAAACTGGATAGACTCTATATGGATAAACTAAAACACCCATAACTGACCTTGCCTTCATCTTTTATTGAGTTATATTCTTCACGCTGACCATAAAATGCAATGGAATTTAGTTCTTTCTCTCCTTTCAATTTCTCCACCTGAAGTCATAACACGTAGTTTCAATAAATGTAAAATCCAAATGGCAGACATAATTCATTAAGGAAGAATCTTAATACCAACTGATTTAGTTGCTCAATTTTAGCTGCTTGCTCCTTACAGACATTCTCAAGCTCCTTCTCATTCATGATACTTTTTGCCATTACATTCTCCAAATGCTTTATGGGGGGAAAATGGCAAAACGGGATCAAGACAAGAAAAATTATTCAAAAATAAATTTGTGAAAATTGAGTCAATACTTACTTTTGGAATTTCATCTGTCACTCCATCAGAATTTCCTGCTTTTCCCAATGTTTCAAACCAGGATTTCGAGACCTCAGTGGAATCCTTATTAGATATTTTGGTCCGGCAAGATGCACAAAGGAAAGTAGCAGTTACTTCTTCACTGGAAGGTTTTTGTTGTATTGTTTGATCATAAGATTCAGCCTTGTCAATTTCTGAACATGGTGTCAAAGTTAAGCGCTCAAAGGAGAAGGAGGTCGAAGACTTGTTCAATGCTGAAGTCTGCTGGTGATAGTCAATAATCTGTAGTCCCTTCTGAAGGCTTGCTGCCAAGGATTCAGCCTTGCTAGACTGTAATGAGGATTGCATATTCTCACCCCCTTTAACTGGTTTTCCTAATGCATTTTTAGTGAAAGTTGAACTCTCTGCCACATTGTTCCAACTTCCAAGATAACTCGATGAAATTGCCATGCTTTTCCTTGTTTTGCTGAATTTTGGAGACTCGGACAACTGTGGTCCATCAAGTACTGGAGATTGACTACATGAACTGACTGCAATGCTGTCTCTGAATGTAGATTTAATTGCCCTTGAGGGGTTACTCATTGTTTTTCCACAGCATACCTCTGATTTTTCAATTTCATCACCACTAGTCATGTCTCCATGATAATTTTCCTCGACAGAATAAAATTGAACACAATCTTCATTGATAGATATGTCCTTTGGATTCCCTTCATATGAACTATTCAATTCATCAATTTGCTGGCGTAATTGCCTTATGTCATCCTCATTGACATTTACTTGCTCATCAGTATCATTATCTATGTTAGATAGGAGAAGAGAGCGATTTAAGCTGACTCTTAACTGATTCAGACTTTCCCGCACATCATGTAAGCATCCATCTTCACTCATATCTGAGCTATGAACTCCATCCTTTGCTCTAATAAGTTCTTCCTGAACCAAAGCAAACCAAATTGTGATTCAAAGATTTGCATTAGTTTAATCCTTCAGAACTATTTCCAAGAACAAGCCTAAGAATATACCTTCAAGTGCCGAATTTTATTACTCAGATCAATGTCAGCCTCCTCTATTACATTGATAACTGGCTCATTTCTGATGGATCTTACTTTCTCTGCAAATCTGAGTGGGCAAAGTGTTTCATCATTACTCCTGCAATGCACAAATGCAATCTTTATCTCTAGAACTCAAAAATACTCTTCCACTACACTCTACAAATGAACAAACTATGGCCTTTGATCAAGATAAATACTTGTTATCAGGGGAAATGGAACATATTACTGAGAGTTTGGCATTTCCACCAAGTGATTCTTGTAGTAAGCGTGTTAAACAGGAGTTACTGTATGGAAAGTCTTCATCTTTTCCAGACTGAGATTTATTAGTCAGAGCATCCACTAAATGCCTACACCAATGAAACATAGCAGTGTGATTACAAATAGAAAACAATCACGGTCACGAATTTGGCCACTAATTACTAACAGAAGCAACTAGCTCGCAAGTACCAGGACCTGGATACTGCTCCTCAAAGAATAAAGAAGATATCACAGCAATATATGGGTTATCTAGCCACTCAGCAACAGTTTTACACAGTAAAATAAGTAGTGTAATGTAGCTTACAAAAAAAAAGAGTAATGTATTATTTTTATGTTTTAACCTACATAACTGAAAAACCCATCCAATCAGGCTGTAGAAAGTATATATAAGAATTAATTTAGCCATGGCATCTTACTCCAGCTGAGATAATGATTTTTCTACATGTCTGCTTTCCTTTAGACATTTGCTATCTCCATCATCAACTTTATCCCTGTCCAGTCCAGCAAGATCAATAAAGCTGATTCTGCTAGTTTTGGAACTACTGAAACCCTTTGTGCTCCCCTGCAACATCATTTTATGAAAATCATATATAGAACAAAACTAACAGACAAAAGTAACAAAATAAACATGTTTTCAACAAAACAACAGTATCCATACACAAACGCTGGTACTGTTTGGTAGAAATACAAAATTTGGCAGTACCTTACATGAAGACTCAATGACAAATGTGAAAATGATATGTGATCTGGAGCTATTTGAATTTAAGCTCATTGCTCCAGTTTTTCTCCTCAAAAGGCCCTGCAGTACATATAAACAGATGAAATTAGCTGATCAAGATTAAAAAAATAGCAGTCATTAACGAACAAATGTATGCAATTGCTCGACCAAAATACCAGCTACCAAAACAAGCATTCAGGTGGTCTTATAAATTGCATATAGATATCTAGCTTTCAGTAATATATGCTTTGATGTTTCCCTACCTTAATCAGAATTTGTGCCACATCATTGTAGCTAGTCACATATTCCTCAATCAGATTCTCAATATACAAGGCATTTTTGGAATCATCCTTCATCTGCAATAATATGGACCAAGCCAAGATTATAATAAGCACATAGCCACATAGCAACTAGAAACAGGAGTATAAAATAATGCGTTGATAAAAATTTGTACCATAAAGGATGGCAGCATATGCCTACCTCAAGGTTCTTCTGGATTGGATTGAGTAAATTCCCAATTTGTTCATTGCATATCTGTTTTGAAACACAGATCATAAGGAGAAGGAACAAACACTTAAGCAACATGAAGGGACAAGCTTATAGCAAAAATGGGAAGGTTTATAAAAAAATTCAAGTTCAAAATTACCTCAAGAAAAGAACAACGACATTGATAGTTGAATTGTTTCCAATCAGACGTAAGTCTCTCCTAATATTGTTATTCAAACTCAATCAGTCAAAATTAAAACACCATGATGACGCAAAACTACCAGAATTGATAATTAGTAATAGTAACTAAAGAAGGAAGTAGAACATACTCTCTCAAGCTCAGAAAATAACATTCTGAAGATTCGAGGAACAATTCCCTGGAGACTAGAACACAAGGGCTCCTCCTCCTCAACCATGGCACTTGGGGGACCCCACATTGTATAAGACTTTCCACTTCCAGACTAACAAAGAAATAAAAACACAAGTGGGAAAGGAAAAATAGTCCTCAATATTGAATCAAAAGTGCTACACATTTTTCACTAAAAAGGTTAAAAAAATACAGCAAGCATTAAAATGTACCTGGCCATATGACAGAATGGAAGTGTTGTAACCAGCTAAAGCACTTCTAACCAAGGGAACACCCACTGACTGAAAAACATCTTCCTGAAGATACAACAGATCATAAATCACATTAAAAGTTTATCTTTTCTTATCCAAACCAAGCAACAACATTGAATCAAAGAAGGTAAATAAACTCCTTAGTCATTCATTCTAAGAGAAAATTCATTTAATTTCAAACTACACAATGCAAAATTATTGAAGATTTAAAACATAAATAAATCACAATTACACAATGAAGAAAAATTCTTTACTACCTGATTGGAGTTCGTATCAAAAACTTCATCAAACGTGAACTTCCTACCCCCAACACACAAGGTATCAGAAGAAACTTTCTTAACTTTCCAATCTCCCTCTTGTCCATTGCTATTTTCGGGTCTAATTCTCACCACAACCTGTTCCAAAAACAACATATAACATTAGCAAAACACTAAAAATAAAACATTTTTGTACACACCCACTTATGGGGTTACAGATTAGAGCTTGAATGTTGAACTGTGATCCAATTAGAAGCAAACTCTGAACTTGCCTTCACATGTGGGTTGTTATGAGAACATGGGGTGTTGGGCTTTGATTGGTGGAGATGGCCAATGGGTATGTTTGGATGGGCAGGGGGAGTGTTTTCAAGGTCAGGATTTGGGGATTTAGGGTTTGAAGAACAAGAAGTGGGTTTGCGATTGGAAGAAGAGATTGATCTGGGAAGAAGGTTTCTGAAGGAGGAAGAAGAAATGCTTCCCAAGAAACCACTAGTCTCTGCACTATTCATCTTTGGCCTCATGATTTTTTGTAAATTAGGGAAGAGAGAGAGAGAGAGAGAGTTTGGATTCAAATGTTGGATGGAGAGTGAAGTGAAGTGAAGTGAAGATGGAGTGTGTAATTGTAGTAGTTGAAAGGAGAGGGAAGATGAACGTTATGTTTTTCGCCTGAATTCACCAAATTGTCCTTTTTGGTTTATGGGAAAATAAAGGTGAGCTTTTTTTTTTTAATTATGCTATTTAGACATGTTTTAATTCACTGTGTCTGAATTAATTGAAAAAATTAAATTATTTTAAAAATTAATTATATTTATAGTTTATTATTATGAATTCCTTTTATAAAGTAAGTTTTGTGTGTGTGTATTAAATGAAATGTTATTTTAAAAAAATCTATTATGTTTGGATTGTATAGAATAATTATTTTTTATGTTGAAATCATAAAAGTTAATATAAAAAATTATTTTTAATATTTAATTTTATAATTATAATAATTAATTATTAAAGATAAAAGCTATAGAATAAAAAATAAGCAAAATATTTTAAATTATAACTATTAATTTTTTTCTCATCTTAAATAAAAAAATTTCTTTATAAAAATCAAATATTATAAAATAATTTTCTAAAAATCACCAAATTAAATTAATATTATTTTTTTAAAATAATTGACAAAAATAATTCATGAAAATATTAGTATCTTCAACATCATCCATGTCATCTATTTTCCTTTTGTTGGGAATACAGCCAGAATTTCACTCTAACGCATATAAATTAAAGTGAATATTGTTACATACATGTGTGTATATAGATAGGCATTCAATTTTAAGACAAGTAATGCGTATAAAAACTAAATAGACATTTTAATCAAATAAAAAATTTAATGTGAAAAGAAATTAAAATGGTCCATATTTAATTTAAATAAGATTTCACATTTTTTATTTATTTATTTTACTTTTACAAAAAAGCAATCAATTTATTTAATAATTTTTATGTGCATGTGTATACACAGTATGCGTTTGTTTAACTTATTTTATAAAAAATAAAAAGGATTTTCTTATTATCATTTTTATCACATTAATTATCATTTTATACTTTTTTATCTTGTATAAATATATACAATTTTTATTAAATATGAAATTATGAAGTTAGTTAGAATATAGAAATAAATATTATATACTATTATCCAATCATAAACTATTATATAATAATTAGTTCAAAAGTCATATTAAAAGTAATTTTTTAATTCATTATTAGTGTAAAATTTTTTATACCAAATAATATATCAAAATTAAAATTTAAAATTATTAATATCATAAAATTATTAAGGTTGATTATTTTGACTAGTTAAACAGCAGAGTTTAACCAATTGTTGCTCAGTCCCTTTTTGTTGTACAACTGAAGAAAAGACAAAACAAAGGGCAAGAATCCCATCTTCTGAAATTCTCAGTTCCTCAAGAATCAAACTTATCATTAGGATATCTTGTCTGTAATAATAAATAAAATTTATCCATAATTTTTTTTTAAAAAAATTATGTTGTGTTCTATTTAAATTCATTATATTTCAAGAATTTGTGTTGAAATTAAATGCTGATTTTTTTATTAGTATTCTTGAAATATTAGTTAAAGAATTAAAAGAATATGTTAAAATATTTTAGAAATTATAATAAATGTGAGATAATAAAAAAAATTTAACCAATATTATTAAAATAAAAATATTCATTAATATTTTTCTTTTGAAAATATCTGAAAAAAAAACGTACACCTAAATTATGTTCTCCATAAGGATGTAAGATTTCTAAAAAAACAACTGGCAGAAGTTGCTAATGTCAATACAAACGGCACAAAAGTGTAAATTAATTTTAACAACAATGAATCAAAATATAATTATTATTTATTTAATAAAAAATCAGGTAATATTAATTTATCAATGACATAAAAATAAAATGAATATCTCCAAATAATATATATTTTGAATTCAAAATCGTCTCTTCAAATTATGCAAAGTCATAATTACTTTTGTAGTTTGGAAAAAGAAAGGAAAGAAACAAAATAAGCGCTCCTAATAAGATGCTGAGGGCAAAATTGTCCACGCAGAAAATTAGATTCAAAAAACTAGTCGTTGAGGCCGGTGGGGCTTGTTTGGCTTCCATTTCGCTCATGCCTTCTTAAACAATCAATTATTCAGAAACATTGATCAACGTACACATTAACCATATCATCTTTTAATTATGAGATATATTGTTTTTATAATATTTTTTTATTTTTCTTTATCACATTACTTATTTAACTATGTTTTCCTTCTTTCCCTTTTTATCTCTCATATATATATATGTAAAAAGTTACACTAATTTTATTGTAAAAATATCACTTTTTTAATTGTATCTATAAACTTATGATTATATATTAGCTAATGTTCATATATAATTTTAATTTATATATATATATAATATTTAATATAGAAAATATTCAATTTTTCAAAATAATTGAAAGTATTAGAATTTCTTTGTTCTAATTTTTTTTCATGAAAAAAAAAACCAGCAAGAAAATTTTGCACGAATTCAAAAAAAAAATTGAGGAACATTAAACATACTTCTCTTGAATCAATCACTTATTAACACATAGGTCGGGTAGAGAACTTTACATGAAACAAATAAAATAAACTTATTGTAACTTATTTTCAAGAATTTAAATACATTAATTTTTTAAAATGAAAAATCATTCATTTGTAATATATTTAAATATTTTGAAATCGATATTATATTTAGTGAAATAATTATATAAAAATATATTAGTGTCTGTGTCTTAGGCATAGCAGTAAAAATCTCATAAGAAATAAAAGATAATAAAATGAATTTAATTTTAAGATATTGTCAATGTGATGATTTTTATACTGTAAACTAATGAGAATATATTATAAATATAATTTTTATATTAATTATTATAAAAATTTAAAATAATTGATGTAATTACCAGAGAGTCAATGTATATTAATTAAATTTTAATAGAACTATTAAAATGTTATTAATAAGTGTAACTAATGCTAATTAAAACCAAACCATTGTTCAAAAATTAGTTAAATATGCTTACATGAAAATATACCTTTTTCAAATATATCTTCAACTGTTCCACAAATAAATAGTTCATTAATTGTTACTTGTATTGCATATAAAGATTAAAAATAAGTACTACATTATTTCATTGACAATTTATTATTTTTCAATTGGAGAAAGCAAGGATTCCGTAATTGTATGTGTGTAATGTTTTTAGTCTTGCAATTCTGAAGTGTATTATTTCCTATAAAAGTTAGAGCATGTTTGTTTTAATTTTAAAAATATTTTTTAATAAAATAAATATATATATATATATATATATATATATATATATGTGTGTGTGTGTGTGTGTAATATATTATTGTAATCAGTCAACAAAAACATTGAAAAAGTTAATTAATTAATGATTTCTTGACTAAAAAATAAATTTAGATAGACAGCTTTACCTATTCCTATATCATTAGACGAAAGCTTTTTACTTTTAGTACAATCAAATTTTTCTAGTGCTTTCATGTCAAAACGTTATTATATTATCCATAATTTTCTAATTGATCAAGTTAGAGAATGATTTAATTTAAATAGATTTCATCAAGTTAGACGAAAGCTTTTTTCTTTTAGTACAATTATATATATATATATATATATTTTAAAGATCATATTTAGTCCTTTTAAAGTTGAATATGATAACCTGAAAATATGTGTAAAAACTATGCAAAAATATAATTTTAATGAAAACCCCCTTGAATTGATAACATTGCGTGCATTACTATATTAATCTTTTAAAAAATAAAATTTCTAAATCATTTTGTAAAATATTTAAATTATCACTGTATTAATGTTCTAAAAATGTTCTTATCAAATTAGTCTCTTAGAACAATGACATTATAAGAGGGTTGCTTTATTTTGTATTGCATTACTATATTAATTCATGACCAAGAGGGTTGTTTAGCTTCACTTTTTAAAAGCACTATACTAGGAGAGACTTGCAAGGTTATAAGACACAGAACCAATAAAATAACAAAATAAATTTGTAAGATTTATCAAATAATTTTTTCAAAGAGTTGTTTGGATTGTAAAAAATAAATAAAAATAAATATTTCTGTGGTGTAAGTCTAAAAATTTTATATTTAATTTGAGTTATTTAATTTACTTACATCTAATAATTAATAAAATAACAAATTATAACTTATTAGATATAAATTAAACTATAACACGCTATATCTAACATGTTATATTGCACCATAAAAAAAAATACAGACCAAAATTGTTGCAGGATATTTTAGTGCATAATTTATTGAGTCATGAACATATGCAAAAGGTGACATGAGTGTTTAATGTTTTCTTCGAAGATTAAACTAATCGTTTGTGCGTGCGCGCATTCACATCAACTTTTGTCTCACTATGTATACACCACTCAACAAATACATTAGTGTATATGCTACAAAGAATAAGATTTATTATTAATTTAAACTTGGTTATAGTAAATTTTATTAAAGTATTAAATTTTATACTATCTTATAAATTTTAATAAAACATTTTGCAAATTAATTATATATAAATTCTTATTATATATCTTTAAATATATATTAAAAATTGTAATTATATTTTTTATGTTTTATTTTACGTATTTTCTCACTTGAAAAGAATAATTCTTTTCAAGAATGTTAAGATATAATTAACAAATTTTATACATAGTTAAGATGAATTACGACTAATAACTCAACAAAATGCCTTAGTTTTAGTAAATGATGTTGATTTGTAAGCATAAATAAGCTGCAGCTGCCATTTGCGTAGTTCATATCCTCTCATTAGTCATCCAACACCATTCAGCACTCAATTATCTCACACTTCTCCACCTGTGTTTATTCACACATCTTGTTGATATCCGAATAAAATTAATTGAATCACACAAAAATTCTACATTATTTATATTCTAATAGTTTATCTTTACTAGCTATGAATAATGATGTGAACTG